CTGAAAGTCTTTACTGATAGTGATTATGCGAGGGATGTGGAGGATAGAAAGTGTACGTCTAGTTACATATGTTTGTACAGTGGCGCTGCTATAAGTTGGAGTTCAAGGAAACAAGAAATTATCACACTCTCATCTACTGAGGCAGAGTATGTAGCAACAACCAACTGTGCATGCCATTGCAAATGGCTCAAAGGTTTACTTGAAGAGTTGGGTGAGAAAAAAGAAGGTGCAATTGAAGTTATGTGCGATAACACATCAACTATAAAGCTATCAGAGAATTCGGTTATGCACAGGAGAACAAAACACATTGATGTAAGGTTCCATTACTTAAGAGATTTGGTTAATCAAGAGGAATTGAAGTTGGTATTCTGCAACACTAAGAATCAGTTAGCTGACATAATGACGTAGTCGATCAAACTAGAAGATTTTAGCAGGTTGCGAGCATCACTGGGTTTGAAGGAAATAAACTGAACTAGCTCTAGTTCAGTTTAGGGGAGGATATTGAAGCCTGGTTACAACGGTCATATGACCAAGTTCTTGAGTTTGTTTAAGGTTTGAATAAGTATCTGATTTAGTCCTAGTTTATTTCTTGTTTTTTAGCTGTTAGTTTGCTGAGTCTGTATGCCTATAAATGGCAGCTTGATTAGTTGAATAAACCATCACATTTTAAAAGTGAGTTTGTGTGTGTGTTATCACTTGGTTTCAACAAAAAGAACAATTTCCTCGATAATCCTAAAGATTCCAACATTCAAGCTGTAAAAGAAACACACTCCCTCATTCTACTGTTTATTGAATTTATAAATATTTTAATGAGCTGGGGTTTTTAAATTGATTTTAGGTTACTGTTGGAGAGACACTGTATCCTTCTGCTATGAGATTTAAGGAATTGAATATTTCTCCGGAGTTATTAAAAGAATTATACGTTGAGATTTAGTTTGAGAGGTCGAGTAAGATTCAATCAATAAGTTTGCCAATGATACTAACTCTACCTTTCAAAAATTTGATTGCTCAGGCACACAATGGTTCTTGAAAGACAACTTGTATCGTTCTTGGTATGTTGAGTCGCGTTGATCCGAACCTATCTTATCCTCAGGCGCTTTGTATATGCCCAACCAGGTAACTCTACTTCAAATTTTTGTTGGGTCATGTTATACCAATTATATGAAGGTTATTTATTTATAAGTACCATAGAGCTGAGTTTAGAATAGCTTACTTAGGGGACGGATTCAGGTTTCATTTTTTGGTGCAATTAAGATGGACATGAAATTCCTTATGATTGCATTACGAGACTCGAGAAGACAAAAAGATAAATGCTATTAAGAAGTTTACATACTCTTACTAGAATGCTATACATTGGGACCATAAATACAAGTTAGAAAAAGATTTTGGAATATTATTAGTGTTTACATGTTGTCATACACTGAGAGTCATTTAATCCGAAAGGAGGATGTAAGTTCTTTCAGGTGGGGACAGGGGCGGATCTACCTTGTAAAAGGTGGGGGGAAAGGCCCCCATTAAAAAATTAAAAAAAAAAATGAATTTTCTAAGGGTAAAAGTTGTTTTTTTTAATTTCTACCATGGTTTTCATCCGTAATTTCTTGTTAGGCCCCCACCAACTAAAGAAAGTATCTTGAAATCAACCAAAAAACTGAAAAGTTTCTCGAAATTGATAAAAAAAACCCTTAAAAATCCCTCGAAATAATCCAAAAAACTTCAAAAATCTCTTGGAATAGTGGAATAAGGCTAAAAACACATCGGACGACTTTATGGGCGTTTAAGCTACCTTAAAGGTGCCCCCACTAGACCAAAATCCTGGATCCGCCACTGGATGGGGATATCCTTTCAAACTCCTTAGATAGATACGCTAAATCAAAGAAGAACATCAAATATGATACAAGTTTCATTGATATTGCTACTTTTCAACCTTTATTTTTTATTGTTTATTTCAAGATCTCTTCTACTTTGTACTGACAATGTTGGTTCTATTCCCTTTGTAGGTGGGAAGTCTGGAAGACACTCGGAAGAAAATGGAGGTAACTGACTAATTGTTTCATATGCGTCCCAACTCATTTCTAGTTAAAATATGATTATTTAATATTATATATGGCTTGGATGGCTGATAAGTGAGAAATATTTCGGTTGGAAAGATTTGATTTTCATCAAATTGTTTGGACGACAAGTCAAAATGCTTTATTTACAATAAATATTTCTTAACAAGCAAAAATGTCATCATCACTGTTACAGATGTTCATGGTGAATGGTTAGTCATCTTCACTAATATGATTTCATTTATATCTACTTTTTCATTATCTGGAGTATGTATTTTATACTGTGAGAAAACTCTCCCGAACAAAAGCCTTTCCAATCCATTCAAAGAGGTTAATCGATACAGACAGATTTATCCAAATAAGACTTAATGTTAAAAATATATGATACTGGTATTCTTTGTGTTCTCACTGAAAACCTTTAGAGAAGTTTTTTGGACTTTTAAATACAAAAGAAAACCTTCTCTAAAGGTCTTCTTTCTTGTAGTGTATGAATTTAAATTGATAATTACTTGATTATTATTGTTAAAGACACTCGTATAAACACACATATACAAACATATATAGATAACACACACATATATATTATATACAAATTTCACTACAAGAAAAATACCCTTTAGAGAAGGTTTTGTTTTGTACTTAAAATTCTTAAAAGCTTTTCTAAACGCTTTAGAGAACCTTTTCATTTCCGTCAAAAAGCTTCTCTATATAAGGATAGGTAAATGTTTTAGGAACGGTTTTCGGAGGGTATGTTTTTTGTAGCTTTTAGAGACACTTTTTTTAGGGCTTTAGGTATACTTCAAAACTTCTCTAAAGGTTAGTTAACTTTTTTTAAAAGCTTCTCTAAATGTATTTATCAGTGACACTTTTCTAGTATTGACGACGGTTTACAAACGTATCTAAGAGGTGCTTTCAGAGAAGGTTTACAAAAGAGCTTATGTAAAAGTATTGGCTTTAGTGATATTTTACCTAAACCTTCTCTAAAGATGTCGTTTAGTTACACTCTGCAAACCTTCTCAAAAGATTATCTTTAGATACAAATAATCAAAAACTTCTCTAAATCTTATCTCTAGATACACTTTTAAAAGATCAATTCCTTCTCTAAAGTGCATGTTATTATTATTTTTATCCATATTTAAGATCTATATTTGTATATAATTATATATTATATTAATCAACAAAAACAACATAAAAATCTCAAAGCAATAAATTTATAATATAAAAAAATAAGTTTTTAAAACAGTCCCCAACATTCAATCAATCTATAAATCCATTTTCTAACATCTTCCTTAAACTCTTAGCAACACTTGATACTCTACCTATCACTTGCCATCTCTTTTCTAACTTTTTTATATTATCTGCCCGAGTAGAACCACGTTTGTTACTTTACACAGATGACGAAGCCTCATCTGATTGCAAGGTGTCTGCAAATGTGGTAGCCAAAATGCAATAATTTCTTGTGAACCGCTAACTGTGTCAATTTCCCTCTTTATCTACAGCAAGTCAATAAGCCATCAGAACATTTCATTAGCAAAATGAATATTTAAAACCTAAATATAATTTCAAGTTCAATATTTTCCTATTTACACATCATAAAGCAGAAGAATATATTAAACCTGCAGTTATCCTATTTATACAAAGTCGGCAGACTCCTCAAATAGAATATATGAGTAACAATGCCATCATAATCACACTTGCTTAAAACCTGATGGGAAAGGTAGAACATTAGTCAAAGTATTAATCTGTTTCAAACCAAAATCGAACCTAAAAAATAGATTGTTACAAGTAAAATGTGTTTAATGATTTCAACAACCACAATCCAAAAATACTCAAAAAGCATAAATCTCTTTTTTTTTTCTGGGAGTGAGGAGGAATCTTGGATGAACCTCTCTGAGAACATTTTCAATATCGTCAACTATAATATATGTGCAATCAAGAAAGTATTATTATAAGAAAAGCTAATGACTTGCAAGACATTGCTAGGTGAGGCTCATTACTCATTGGGACTTTCTACACCTCGACAAGATGAATTTCTCCACCTGACATTAGTTCCCCAAATCTCCCTAGAGTTCCGGCAACAATCTCAGGCCTTGCCTTTTAAAAGAATTTTTTTTTCCGTTGACATTCCATCAACAATTGGAACAACCTTAATATCAGCCCTATCACCATTTGTTTCAGATGATCAGTGACCTAAAGGGGGAATACATATAAAAAATAGAAAAGAATGATCAAGAATTTGTGTGAGTGCTCAAGCCAATCTAGGAACAAAGGAGTAAATAAATAAGTAAACAGTTAGAATAAGAACTTCTCAGTTATGACACATGCAAACTAACCATGGGCCAGGACTTGCAATCATTCTTTGCAATTAACCATCTTGATGATGCATAAGAATGCACGCAAACAAATTTTTAACAATACTAAATACAGGTTAAAAATACCATAATGAGTACCTGAAGTACAAGCTCCCTGGTGGGAGTAATAACAAGTGAAGAATACTCCTAAAATACTTGCAATTTAGAATGCTTATCACATAGTGTAGACTAACGCAAGTCTAATGAATAGACCTTTCAAACTACTATATGCTAGTGTATGACAATAGGTAGGATGGAATTCAGCTAATATAATCACTTCTGCAACAAAAATAATCATAGTTGGTTTTGGCCTTTGATTCTGGCCTTTGGTCAAATGAGCCTTATTTCTTGATTCCAAATAGTTGTGGACTTGAATAAAATAGTGGGAAATCAGAATATCATGTTAAATGTTACAAGTTAGGTTACCACCCACAGTATTTGGAAATTTCATAAATGTAATTAAATTATCAAATTTTGATCAGACAGATAAATCCATTTGACTGTGAAAGTCAAGAAATGCTTTCTGTTTTCTTCTAAATGCATGAAGTTATTTCAGGATACACCAAAACTCATAGACTTTTAGAAGGGATCACCACTAGATATGGACATAGCACCGCCACTAATGGCGGCCACRCGGTGGCYATTYTTTGTATTCTTGGYCGRATCAATGTTCTGCCTCCTCTCCAACACCACCTGCCACCTCTTCGGCTTCCATTCTCACAGCTTAAACCTCCAACTTCTCCAACTGGATTATATCGACATTGCAGTCATGATCATCACCTTCTTCTTCCCACCAATCTACTACATCTTCCAGTGTGATCCCCTTTCACAATTCATCTACCTTGGTGGGGTCACCGTCATGGGTGTTTTTACGATCATAACCCTACTATCACCAGTGCTCTCTTGTGATAACTAGATCCTGGTTATCACCCGAGGTAATTAATATGTGATTATTTGATAAATGATAATGTGACAGCATGATAAAATGTTATATTTGATCATGCTAGTATGTGAAATTATATGCATAATATGAAATGCATATGATATATATATATATATATGCATGATATATGTGCATGAAATGGGTGTGAATCTATGAACATATATGCATGATGTATGGATGCATGCATGTTGGGGGGAAGGCTATAGTAGCCTACTTTCCCTAAGAGGAAAGGTATACAAGGAGGGTGAGGTCTCCTTTACTCTCTTCTTGCTATTTTTGAGACCTCAAGTGAGCGATATAAGTGAAAGTATTGACCAGATTATTCTTGACCGGAATTCAAATTGGTTTTCAAGAGATTGATTTTCAAAAGGAATTCAAGGTGAGTGGTTTACCATTTTATTTTAATTGTAAAGTAATTCTTTTGGTTTGATCAATAATTATTTTGAAAACTTGTTTTACCCGGTTTAGACTTAAACCGGACAAAACATGAGCGGTTTAAGGTTAAATCGCCTGATGTGTTAACCGTGTAGTCTTAAATCGGACAAGGGTTGATCGATTTAAAAATAAACCAGACATAGTCTCATCCGGTTTAAGGGTAGTCCGACTAATGTGTTAGCCGGTTTATGAGTTGAACGATTTATGAACTTTGATATGTTAAGTGTTTTAATCGGAGAAGTATGAGTACGACTAAAGGTGTTAAACCCCATAATTTTTATGTGTAAAAGTAATGAAGAAGAACAAGTGATGAAGAACCAGAAGGCCGATGGAAGACTTCAAGGCAAAATGGCTAAGTCCTCAATACAACCAGAGGGTCGATGAATCGACCAGAGATGCGATGGAAAGAGCATCTTCATAGCCCCTTTGGTTATCAACACTTGGAGTTTTCTACAATAGTTCAACCAGAGGTATGCAATGAAGATATGAAGATAAGGTTGAATAACGCCCCATGGAAGACAGCTGGAGATGACTAACCGACAGCTGGATTCTACAAAGTTTATCTTGTTTTGTTTATTATCCATATTTAGATAAGCTTTATCTTTACTAGAAGATTAGCTAGATATTCTCCTTAGATAGTTATCTTAAAATAGCTTTCTAGTATAAATAGGTGGTTAGGCCTATTGTAATATTTGACTCTTTGAAACTTTTCATAATCATTGGAATAAAGTGAATCATTTGACGCTCAAGCATATTCTTTGAATATTTATCTTTTGTTCTTGAGTGTTCATCATTTTATTCATCCAAACTATATAATTAGGTTATTCTTAACTTAATTATTAGTGTTAATTGAGAGATCTGGGATCAACAATTGGTATCAGAGCCAATTGATTGTTCTTCAATCAAAACGATCATCAAAAACTCTCAATCCGCCTTTTTCTTTATTTTTAATCTTCTCTAAAAAGCGTAATTTTTCTCTTCCAAATCTTCAATGGCCAACTGGAATTCTGCTTATAGTGTTGGTTCCCTCACCAAACGTCCAACTCTTCAAAGAGAAGAGTATCCACAATGGAGAATAAGGATGGTAATTTTTCTGGAAAGGATGGACAGAAATCTTCTGCGATCTGTCATGGAGGGTCCCTACATTCCACAGACTCTTGTTCCAAGAGTCCCAGGAACGAGTACAACAGCAGAAATATCAGCTTACTACATGCCCAAGGACGAGAAGAATTGGGATGAAGATGATATGGAGCGCGTAGAGACTGACAAGAAGGTCAAAAGATTAATTATCATGGCCATTCCCAATGAAATCTTCCAATCCCTCGATGCATGTTCCACAGCAAAGGAACTATGGGATGAGCTGGAAAGTTAATTAGAAGGAGGAGCAAAAACAAAGAAAAATCGTAGAGCTCAATGTCTCAATGAATATACAAACTTCGAGGCTCTTCCTGATGAACTGATTCAGAAGACGTACGATCGTTTCAACACTTTGATCAATCAATGTTGACGAAACGACATCTCTAGGATAAAGGAAATAAGTGTTATTTCTTAAAAGTCTCAGCGATGAGTGGACTCAGCTGTCAATGTCTCTCCAAGCAAATCAGAACTTAGACGGCTGGTCACTTCATGACGTCTATGGAACGCTTGCTGCACAAGAGAATGATATCATGAAGAAGAAAGTATCCATTGGTGGACCCCTTGCTCTTGCTGCAGAAGAAAAGGATGTTTCAAGGACCTCCACCAGAGACCACATGAGAAAAGGTAAAAAAGGCACTGGTTGTAGAATCAGAATCGGAAAAAGAGACATCCAAATCTGATGATGATCTCAAAACCTTTGCCAAGTCTTTGACCTTGATCACGAAACAGTTCCAGAGGAAGTTCATCAAAAAGCCATTTGAGCGAAGAGACTCCAGAAGGGAGAAGTTCCAGCCCTCCTATGAAAAGAAGCCAACAAAGTTCCATCAGAGGGAAAACAGAAGAGAGGGAAGAGAAGAAAGAGATGACAGAAGAGAGAAGAAGAGAGAAGACAGAGACGGATGGAAGAATGACCTTCGCTACTTTAGATGCGGAAAAATCGGTCATTTTTCAAAAGAATGCAGAGGACGTCTTGTGAAGGATGCGGACTATTACAAGAACAAATATAAATACCATCCTAAAGAGTGAAGCCTGATGGCTGAAAAAAAAATTGGGTGTCTGATTCTTCGTCTGATGAAGAAGACAAGGCACTCATCTGTCTCATGGCCACGTCTAATGCAGAATCGGCCTCTAACTCTGATGAAATGGTATGTTAGTCTTCCTTAAATGAAACCAACTCTGCTCCAACTGAGCTAGAGTTAAGGGTAATGAAACTTTCAGAGGACTTCTTAAAACTCAAAGAAAAATTAAATTATGAAAAATCTAAAAGACTTAAAGCGGAAAAAGAAGTCGGTTTCTACAAAAGAGGGACTGGTCTTCTAACCGAAAAAAAGTCGAACTAGTTAAGGAAAAGACTCGCATCGCCACTCTTAAAAAAACAGAGGAAAAAAAACTTCTGGATTTAAACAAGCGAACAACCAAGGACTTAGAAAAGAAGGCAAATGCCATAAAAGAATCCGAGGTAGAGAGGCTCAACTCAGTTGCTCTCAAAGATTTCTTTCAAAAAGAAAGGGAGATTCTTCATCAGAAGCTTCAAACTAATGAACTATTGATGAAGAAATATAAAGATGCCCAAAATGTGTACGAAAAACTTAACGGTCAAAAGGACACTCAAGGGATCGGATTCAATGAATTGGACTCCTTCATCGAAACAAATAAATCCACCCTTGAATCCACTTTCAAACTTGGATGCATTCAAAAACCCAACTTTTTTCCTAAACCCAAAGCAAATTTCAAAAGGGTTAAAGTCGATGGAAAAACTGTCCTTTTAAGACATGATTTTGAAAATGTGGTGTACGAGAACAACACATGTAAGAATTCTGATGAATGGAATGATGCTTCCACACCAGAGACCGATGGAAACCCCATGGTTCAATCAGACTCTCTGGTCATCGATCCCACTTCATCAGCAAGTGCTGTTGATGAAAAAGAGAATCCTAGTAAGGAACCGTCATCTGATATATCGATGAGCCATCTAAGTAATATTGGAAGTTCATCAAAGTCAGAAATGATGGAATCCCCAACATATCACTCTGAACCATCAACCTCTGAACCCACTCCTCCCACAAACGTCCATGACAATTTTGATTTTGAGAAATCAGCGAGAGACTTTCTTGACTTCGAATCTGAAGAAGAAATAATCTGCGAATCACCAGAGGCCATTGAGGATAAGAAGCCTCAAAACTTCAAGCCCTCAATGAAATCTGATGTTCCAGCATCTATGAAAACTTCAGATAAAGGAAAAGAAAATTTGAGTAACACCAAGTCCGCTAAAGATACCCCACAAGGCCCAAGTACCTCCTCTAAGTTCATTATGTTTACTCGCGCGCAAAAACAAAAGTAGCCTGCCTCTGAAAATTCTAACCACCACTCCTCTCATTCAGCTGAAGAAAAGCAGTCCTTCCTCAGGAAAGAAATAAAGACCAAGCCTTCCACTAATAAAAAATATGAACTAGATAAGAAGTTTGTAAAAACAACCAATGCTAGGACAGGATTTTCATCCCCTGCATTTACTTCTTCATTTTCATCAAATAAACAGAAAGTTAAACATTCATGTCCTAAAGATATTAATTGCCAATGTTTAGCTCTTTTATAAAACCTGAGGAACCACATGTTAACACATCGCTGCATATTTTCCAAACACGTCTATCGCTATAGTGTTAAAACCAATGAAAACTTGAAAAAGCCTAAGTCTAAGGGCAAGGGAAATGCAAACAAACCCAAGCCTACACAGGCCAAGGGTAATGAAAATCAGCCCACTCCAAAGAGGGCTGATGAAAAGAGAGAGGTCGTATCTATGACCAACCAACGTGGACCCATTAAGAAATGGGTACCTAAAAACCCTTAACTTGTCTTGTAGGGCCAGCATGTGCAACCATTGTACATGGATTCAGGTTGCTCCAGGCACATGACTGGTGATAAAAGTTAGTTGTCCTCCTTCATCGAAAAATATGGAGGCTCTGTCACTTTTGGAGACAACAGCAAGGGTACCATCAAGGGATACGGCACACTCATCAAAGGGAACATCTCCATCAGCAAAGTGGCTTATGTTCAAGGTCTGAAGCATAACTTATTAAGCATAAGCTAGTTCTGTGACAAGGGTCTTGAAGTTAGATTCCGCAAGGGTTTCTGCATCATCGAAACACAGCCCGGCCAAACCATCATCAAGACAAAGAGATAAAGGAATCTCTATCTTCTGGATTTTCAATCCTCTGTGGGACAAGACACCCTCTGTCTTGTATCCCGTAAGAGCGATGAAAATTGGATGTGGCACCAAAAGTTCTCACACCTGAATTTTGATGTCTTAAGGAAGCTAGCCAAATAGAAGTTGGTCAAGGGAATTCCCGATCTCAATTTCGAAAAAGATCATCTATCTCTGCCTGCGAGATGGGAAAACTGAAACGGGCTTCTCATAAAACAAAGTCAGAAACCTCCTGCTCCAAGCCCCTGGATATGATCCACATCGATCTCTGTGGGCTCATCTCTAAAGAAAGCCTCTCCGAAAAGAAGTACATCCTAGTATTAGTTGATGAATACTCCAGATACACCTGGGTTGAGTTTGTAAAGAAGAAATCAGATGTTCTTGAACTTCTCATTGGAGTGATGAAAAGGCTCCAAGTTCTTCTACAACGCAAACTCATAAAAGTTAGAAGCGACAATGGGACTGAATTTAGATATATCAGAATCGATGAATACCTCATCAGTGAAGGTATTTCCCAAAACTTTTCAGCAGCCAGAACTCCACAACAGAATGGAGTAGTGGAGCTAAGGAACAGAACCCTCGTTGAAGCAGCAGGGACCATGCTTGCTTCATCGTAGTTACCCATCACCTTCTGGGCTGAAGTTATCTCCACTGCATGCTTCACCCATAACCGGTCAATCATCAACAAGAGTCACCAGAAGACACCCTATGAACTCATCAATCAAAGAAGACCAAATGTCAAATATTTCCATGTCTTTGGGTGCAAATGCTTTGTACTCAATGATAGGGAATATCTTGGCAAGTTCGACAAGAAAGCTGATGAAGGGATCTTTTTGGGCTATTCACAAACCGCCAAGGCCTACAGAGTCTACATCAAAAGGACAAAGATCATCATCAAAAGCATCAATGTGTCCTTTGATGATTCCACACCTATGACTTCTGGACACAACAGTTCAGGACTCGGACTTCAACAGAAAGCCTCTAATTCATCACTTGGCAAACCCAATGAATCAGAGTTAGCTCATTTATTTGAAGACATCTTAGAAGAAGTAGTCTCTAGACATGCACCTACTACTAAACCCATTTCTAGAGC